TAGTAGACAGTCTGAGCATCCTGCAATATAACTCAAGTTTATAACTGCTTGTCCACACTGACATGACACATTATTTTCTCTTTTCTTGCACATATTTATTTGAAGACTATTAACATATTTCCTCTCAGTTTCTGCTTCTTGTAATTGAAAAAACTCCTTTTCCTCAGCCTTTCTTCACAGTTACAGTTTAGTAAGGGAAACCACGAAGGAATTTAATTCTTTCGCTTTAGCAGCTGCCAACAACGTCTTCCTGTTTCGGCCCCCCATAGCCTGCTTGGTGGAAGGGAGATGCAAGAACAGCAGGCTAGGAAAAAAAATCAGCCAGTCCTAAGTGTGAAAAAGCATTAGTTCAAAAAACGCCACAATGCCAAACCGTGACATCTCCTGACATTCTGTACCAAGACCTAAGATTAAGTCAGAAGACTGAAAGCGACTAACCATTGGAAAAAGATACCACATGCGTACAAAACCCTTTAAGTAGTAGGGAACTTAATATCAGAAGACTTTAGGGAGGATCACACCTAAGCAACACTACAAAATAAAAATCAAAAACTACCAAGAAAGGTCCTAAAGGTCTTTGCCAGCGTGGTGGCCAGGGGCTCAGCCGTGCCTGTGTTAACAGGACACACTAACTTGGCATGCAGGAAAGATGAGGTTAAAGAATGAGGGTTGCGGGATCCCTAGCACTAATAAAATCCTTTTTTTTTTTTTTTTCCAGGATCAAGCTGCTGATACGACAGACTCACCCCTTCTCTAGTCACCCTATTTTACATGGGTTTTTTTCTTGTCATTGAAGATTTGTGTCCTGTTTTATTTTTTGCAAAGCTTAATATCACCTATCTAGAGAATAATTCAAAGATTTTGCCTTCAGACACAGGAACCCCTGGAAGCTTACTTAAAGGTATCCTTCCTTTGGCTATACAAGAAATGGAGGTATTCAGGCTCCCTGTTTTATTGTCTCATTTAAATGACTTAGGTAGGATGAATGCTGGTAAACATGATATGGGAAATAAAGTATACGCATAATTTTTGCATAAACATTTGCAGCATCAAGGATTTGTTTTGCAGAGTGATTTGGGTTCTCTTACAGTGAAAAATAAAGGTGAAATTAGTGTTGTTGCTACAAGAATTAATAATTATTTTATAGCCAGATATGTAATGTCAACAACATTTGTCAAATAATGTAATAGAGTTAGTAATAATAATACAGACTTTAGCTGAGCTGTCTGAAATCCCTTTTAAATATACACATTTCAGTTCTCTCTGATTTCTTCTGTATTCATTAGATGGCCAAAGGGAAAACAATCCATCCCTGGACACTGAATTAAACAACCGTGTATTTCAGTACCTTTCAGCAAAGCAGATTGTTTCACATCATCTCTGCAGAACATCTGAGCAATACAGCAAGTCAAGTGTAAGCTCTAAGTAATCATGCTTCTTTCCATCTGCTTTTCAGGGGTGACTTACAGCAATCTCAGGCCCACAGGCACTTCCTTGACCTTTTTAAAAAATAAGTTTTAACCCTTATTTATCTAACTCTTATGGACAGACACATAATATTAACCCAGGACTTGCATAAAGTTTCGAATAACAAGAACAGGTGATTGTCTTGGCATTCTGAGGCCCAATTTTCATTTCACTTATACTGATTTGATTCAAGTGCAACTCCAATGATTTCACTGGAGCTTTCATGGTTCATTGCAGGGAAAGGTAAGACCTGAATATCTGAATGTTTCTATTGCTGTACAGGAGCAGAGAAAGAGTAATTTCCAGTTTACCTATTTCAGTATTACACTGGGTATCATAGACTTCCACCACATGCTTCCACTGACAGTATCATACATGTATCCGTAGCATTCATGATTACGTATGTCCTAGGAAAAGGCAGTTGGATCTGCCTGCAATGATCGTGGGTTTTTTTTCTTTCACATAAATGGAAGTCACTTCAGACACACAAAATCCTGTTCTGTCCCCTGTTAGGTCAATGCTGGTTTTACCACTGTTTTCCAAGGAGTCAGGCTTCCCTCAGCCCATCAGAGGGCTCTTCTCCTGCAGCCCCCATGTGAGCTTCAGGGAATGATTACCGTATATTTTGCCTATCTTCAGGACTGAGAGCAATGTTAAAATTAGCATGAATGGTAGAAAAAGCAGAGTAGATCTCCTGACTGGCAGTTCAGAGGGCATCGGTTTGAAATCAGGCCCCAGCTGTCGTTAGGAGTCAGGTTTCATCTCTGCCACAGCTGATACGCATCAATAACAGTTACTAATAACACAGTGCATACTCAAATACTGCCCCACACATGCAGGGGGCTAATATGTGTTAATTCCAAAGTGCGGTCCTTGTTAGCATATGATTACTGTTTTTTTTAATGGTGATTACAGTAATACCTGAGCACAGATCTGCCTGATACCTCAGATGTATACATTGTTCATACCCCTGTATACAAACATGAATGAATAGACTTTCTTGAGAGAAACTACAATGTGATACTTTACAGCAACTGAACTGTGGCCAGAAAGGAAATTCACAAGTTTTATTATCCCCAGTGGAATCATGCAGCATGGAACATGTTTTTAATAGAGATCTTTTCCCACTAATTTTTCTAATATATCAGTATTTCCTTGAAATGAGCACATTTGGCCTTGTTTGTTCAGAGATGGTTGGTCATGACATGACATGGGACAGGCAGGTTGTACAGTCACAAGGCTGTGACCACGGCATTTAACGTGGGAATGTGAAGGCTGCTACTTAGTGATGACAGAGAGCTGAAACTCTTTCCTCCGCATGGGGAAATCTGCACCTCTAGGCCACCTCATGACTGCATGAAACTCTCCAAAGAAATGAGAAGTTTTATGTTGATAAAAAAATAAAATCCTTACTTTGTTTTGTTCTGTTATTAAGAATAGCAAATGTTCTATCTTACCAGGAAATGTTACCAGCAGTTCTTTCAGGAGCAAGATGCCAATATAATACAGAGGAAACAGGTCAGAAGGTATTTAAGTACATTCGCTCCTGGTGCAAAGGGAAAAGTGAATGCAAAAGGTTTTACATTAAGTATGGTCTTGTAAAGAAAATTGTACTAGAGGAACCTCATCTAGAAAGATCAATGATGTTTGCCAGATCTTCCAGTACGGTTTCTCTTATCAGTAAATGAAAGTGGAATCTAGACTCAGCTCCCCATTTAGGATACCCCTGGACTTTGAGATACTGAAGTTAATTTTGTAGATGATTTATTTTAAAAAAAATTTATTTTATTATTACTATTGATAAATCGTCCAATTTCCATAATGTGATGAACCAAAATACAGAAACTCAATGTTTTTAACACATTCTCACTTAGCAGGCAGGAATATTGGATAGTGTAACAATTACCTAAGTCACTTAGAAAGAGATTTACTATAGTATATATTTTTCTTATTCTTCAGTTGATAAAGCTTTGTACATTCTCTTTGCAACATGAGTAACTTTATCATAATACCTTCCAAAATGAAAATTCATGTTTCAAAATGTATGGAAAAGACAATGCAGTAAGAAATGTGATTTAGGAATTAATGCATACATATTACATGATAGTACATCCACCAGATTCTCTATATAAAGTCCTGTTTATGGCTTCTTTAAAGAACTATCTCAAAGATCATTACAAACTCATATGATTTAAAATAAAAGTTAGTCCATAAAACTGATCCCAAATGTACTTGCATCTTTCCTTGACACAAAAAAGATTTGGGTTTTTTTTGTTTGCAAAAGAAGTAAATGTTGTCTTTACTAAGAAGTTAGGCTAGAATTTGACATATTTGTTTTTCTTATATGTAGTCCTAAAAGAACTGATAGGTAGGGTGTAGTAACACTGGTTGCATCAGGTGAAGAAGTCACCACTAAAAGCACTTTGCTTCAGACTCTCCTAGAGACCCTCCTTCCAGCCTGCCACACACCTAAAAAAAAAAAAAACAAAAAAAAACTGAAAACTGCACTGAACTGGATGTGAAACATTTCCATTATGGAGTGAGCATGTCAGGGTTCAAGACTGAGCAGACGTGCTTCGCCACCCTCTATTTTTCATTTTCTTATGAGCATTAAACATCACACTCCTGTACAGCCTTATATTGGTAGTGTAATACTTTATTGTAGCCATCCCACCTTCCATGGCTTCGCTCATAGAACTTAAGATAGGATGTTTTCATATGCCTTCAGCAAATGGAAAATAGAAGCGATGATGGGAAGAAGATTCCCCCTCGTGTGATTACTCTGCCCTCTGCTGGGACTCATCACGCAGAAGGAAACGACACAGGCCAAACGCATAAAGAGTGAGGATTTATACTGAAGGAGTTGAAGGAAAACAGCATCTGGTTTATGCAGCTTCCTAGACATGATGCGAAAGCGCATGCCCAGCAACACCGCAAAAGGGCTATGTGCTATTGAGCAGCACCGAAAGCCACCTTGGATATAAGGTAGGAGATGCCGCTACACCTGTGCGCAGGTAGGTACACAAGCAGCGGCACCTTGGAAAACGTTATCTGAGGAAAACGTGCGGTGACTCTATGTCTCATGCCCACTGTCCCCGGCACAACCCCACCGAGGTGCCCAGCCGGCCCAACACGCCCCGGCTCTCCCAGCGGCCGTTCCCG